TATTTATTTATTTATTTATATATGTAGGGGTTATTAAATAAAAATATATAAATATATATTGTAATTTAAAGCTTTGAATTGGAGGATTAAAGCCGACGCGCTAAACAGCGAAGCGAGGTTCGACCCGAAAGCGAATGAGAGCGGAAAATGAAGGTCAGCGCGATTCGCATCGCTTCGCCGAGACTTTCAGATTTTCGCCGGCGAATTGTTCAGCTTTCGCAGAACTTCCGCGACTTTGGAGATTTTTTAATTTTTGCGAGTCTTGAGAGTTGATGGAGGATTTAATTTAAAAGCTTTTTTTTTCGCGTCGTCGAGTCCACGAAAGGAATTGAAATGACCGATTCTGGTCGGCCTTTTCGATTTTACACGGAGGCTCGGAGAGGAATGCGAGCCGACGGAGGGCAGATGGATCCCAGGTGGATCCCAGGTGGATCCTAGGTGGATTCCAGGTGGACTGCGTTCTGGAGGTAATGGGTATCCTGCGTTCGGAATGTTTCTCGGGGGCGGACATCCATTTTCCATTATACAGCCATTACATAACCATTACATAACTCTCGCTTGGCGCGGAGAGGGTGAAAATGGGATTCCGGTCGGTGCCGCAAAGGATCGCCGGAAACGGTAATTTTAGGTTTGTAATGCGTCGGGCACCTATTGGTTGTAATGCTTCGGGCACGTAATGGTTGTAATGCATCTGGCGCGTAATGGCTGTGGAGCGACGAAAGGGAAGAAAATTTTCCCCCTTGGGAGAAGAAAGACTCCTGACCCGACGCACATTGAGGTCGAAAGGGCCACACGTTTCAGGTCGTTTTCCTCCAGGTCTTTATTAATTACGGATGCAAAGGATGAGTAAGCCATTCCAGGGATGGCTTCAGGGAGCTTGGAGAATCGAGGGAGTTTGGAGTATCGAGGGAGCTTGGAGAATCGAGGAAGCTTTTTTCGGAAGTGTTTTAGTTCGTGTTCGATTGGAAGCGAGACTCGAGAAAGCTGATTCTCAGGTATTTATTTGTAATGGGTAATGGATGGTGACGGGGCAACACTCATCCATTAAAGCCTGCCTGAAATGGATCTGCAGTGGTCAAAACGCGTTTGCTGCTTTAAAGAGCGAAACGAGATGAAACGGCAGGAAAAATGTCCTCGTGCCGCCACAAATGCCCTCGTGCCGTCGCAAATGCCCTCGTGCCGTCGCAAATGCCTTCGTGCCGTCGCAAATGTCCTCGTGCCGGCCCAAATGTCCTGTTGGCCGGCGGGCGGCGTGTTTTGCATCGACGTCGCCGATTCCGAGTGTGACGGATCGGGAATGTCCCAGATGGAAGGGGGAAAAAAAACTTCCGGATCGTTTTCATAAAGGGAGGCAGGAGCGGCACAAGGGAGGCAGAGCGGCACAAGGGAGGCAGAGCCGCAGAGGGGAGGCACAATGGCCACGAAAGGGCACGGAATGCCATCCCGGTGACTTCTCCTTATCTCTTTCGCCTTTCTCTGCGGTTTTTTTTTCCGCCGAATTGAAAGGGTGTTTGTCGCATGGCGTGTTCACGCCTCGCGTCGTCAAAAGGATCCAGCCACGCCGGGGAGGGCCTCACGCTACCCCCTCGCTTCCCCCCCCTACCCCCCCCCCCTTCCCCCCCCCCCCCCCCCCCCCAGTCGCCTGTGTGTGTGTGTGTGAAGGGACGAAAGTAAATATTTGAATGATCTCCAGCTTTCTCTCCGCGCAAACACGCGGAGGATCCTGCGTTTCTTCCCTTTTTTTTTTCTCGCAGCAGGCTGAAAGGCTGCGAGGAAGACCCGAGGCTCAGAACCCTCGACCCGAGGCTCAAAGGCTCAGAACCTTCAGGTTTATGTGAGCATCCAGACCCCCACAATTCTCCAAGCTTCCAGACTCCGCGATTCTTTTAAGCATCCAGACTCCACGAGTTATTCAAGCATCTAAACTCCTTGACTCCCTAAAGCATCTAAACTCCTTGACTCCCTAAAGCATCTAAACTCCTTGATTCCCTGTAGCATCTAAACTCCTTGGGTGTTTCCCCGAAGCACGGAGGTCCGGGCCGTTTGTCGGGCGGCGCGACCAATGACGCTCGGCATGCGGGGACGGGCATGCTGGGACGAGCATGCGGGGACGCATGTCCGCGGGTGCCATTGGGGGAATTTGTCGGGACAAGCGAAGCAATAATGAATGACTAACGACGGCCTCGGCCCCCCCGCCGGTCCCGAGTTCAAATTCCCCCCGGAAAATGAGTGTTTATGTCAACACGGCCAATGGGGGGAAAGCGGGGATCCATTTTCTTTCGGACAGGGGAAAGAACGCCCACGGGGCATACATACCCTACACGAAACACCTTTCTTCTTTTTTTTTTTTTTTTTTTTGAATGAGCACTCGCGGCGGGAGCGGGGCCGGCTCTCGACNCGCACTGACTTCCTCAAAAATTACTTACAATTTTTTTGGGGGGAAAGAAAAGGGAACACACTCGAAAACAGAGATTCCAGATTATAAAAAAAACGCGTTATGATGGGGTTCCGTGAAATCTCGTCTTTTCCCCCCGCGGAATACGGCCGAGGCGAAAATTCCTGAGAAATTGCTGGACATTAGAAAAATGACATAAAATATAAACATAAATAACATTTTGAAATATTAATAATTTTTTTGACGCTCGGGTCGGATTTTCGAGTTCCTGGCAGGAACTTCGCTTCCCTCCGTTGCATGCGCGCGAATAAATTTGTCTTTCTCACCGCATTTTCTATAAATTTTAGCATTTTTTTACTTTAAACTTTTCCTGGAAGGTTCGTAGGCAATAATGAGTAATGAGTAATGATCAATGAGCAATGAGTAATAGCTCTTGGGAAAAGAAGGGAGGGGATGGGGATGTTGGAGGGAGGATGAAGGAGGTTGATGGAAACTGAATTGTCGAGCTCACTTTTTAAGTCGCAGAATCCTTGAAGGACTCTGGTCTTTAAAGTACTTGAGCTCTCCAGTACTTCGATGTCGCCGTTTTTCCGATTTTAATTTGGATTTTTTTTGCGAGTTTGGGAAGCAGTAGTTTCTTATTTTCGTCGTATATTTTGCCAGAGCAAAATTAATCGCAGGAATTTTTATTTTAGTCTTGGTTTCAGAGTTTCAGTCACTTTTGGCCACATCGTGACCTATTTTCTAATTTTCGACGAATTTTCGTAAAAGACAGCTAAAAAATGTAGCTTAAACCAAACGAAGCTTCATTTCTCTTCTTTCCGCGAATGCATCGCGTTACGCAGGAAACTACGTCCGGCCTTGTCAACGAGGAGGCGAACACCGCGAACACCGCGAACACGGGAAGCAGTTCTATTGCCCTCAGGCGCTTTAAATCCCGAAAGAGTTCGGCATTATTCACTCGTGTTCACTTTCACGTGCATTAGCTGTCGATCGATTGAAAAATTTAATCGATTGATCGATTCCTCCTTGAGTCACATCTACGGCGTTGGGCACGATGACGTCATAACCAACGCCTAGCCGGGCCTCAGGAAGTGACTCGAGGCGATGCTAACATGGCAGTTACCGTTCATACGCCGGTTTGACCTACGCGTGATGCCGTTCCGATCGGAGGGAGAATGATTGCAACGTGGCCGGGTGAATGGTGAAGATGAAGAGCGCTGAGGCCCTTTTGCCATTTAGCCGGGCCGGAAGGATGCAAAAATGGAATCGGAAGGATTGGAGGCATGCAGTGACGCTTTGTTAAGCGGAGATTTAAAGCGATCTCGATTCACGGGCGACGCGGACGGAAGAGAAGAAGCGAGGAATAAGGAGGCTCCACGCTTTCTTCTGGCTTTCCCGGTTGATTCTCGGGGGGATCCCGCAGACATTCGCCGACGGGCGCCTCTCGCTTCCCCCGGAGTCTTTACGCCATGTTCTCTTTCCTGACTCTCGCGTTCCCGTGCGCACGCGGTGGCTTTTCGGTCGCTCGAGGCCTGCAAGGAAACTTTTTTTTTTTTATAATCTGGAATCTCTGTTTTCGAGTGTGTTCCCTTTTCTTTCCCCCCAAAAAAATTGTAAGTAATTTTTGAGGAAGTCAGTGCGAAAACGACTTCCTTCTAGAAGCCGATCGTTTCGTTCCCTTGATGAAGCGTTCGTTTTCGGTCGTTTTGCAAAACTGCACAGTCAGATTATTAGAGGGAAAAAAGCCATTCAGTGTCGATTGAAATGCGATTAATTTCGAATAATTTTTTATTCGCGATTAATACTTTCAGCGATTAATCGGCCGATTAATCTAATGGAATTGACAGCCCTAAACGAAAATGTAACGAAAAGTAACTTTCGTCCACATTTCATTCAGCGCTCTTCACCCATTGAATTTCCGCTGACGGAAGCCTGAATGGCGGCAAAATGCCTCGGGGTTCCGCCAGAAGCCCGTGACGTCACTTCCCCGGGCACGCGGCATGCGATCGTCTCGTCGAGTCATTTTCCACGACAGGTTCCGATTGCCTGCAGTGAAGTCGCTTGCCGCTAATAGAATGGAAAAAAATCAATAACGTGTTTAAGCCAAGATTCCGGCCTCGATCCCCCGCGGTTTCAAGGATTCGGCTCGCAAGGCCACCGGGCCCAACGTGATGGCATGCGCGTCCCCGATCGCGTCCCCGATCGCGTTCCCGATCGCCCCACACCCTCTAAAGGCCGAAAACTCCACTCACCGCCTCGCAGAACGGAAGAGCTTGGAATTCATTCTCCAGGTGTCGCTGGCGAATCTCCACTTCGTCATCCACCAGATGTCTCTAGTCGAGGTGGATGACAGGATGGAGGTCTGGTGGAGGTCGTCTGGAGGGGATGCGAGAGGATTACCTGGCTGAAGGTGGTACTTGATGGTACTTGGTGGGTCAAGCCCGCGTTTTTTGCTGGTATTTTGGGCTCTTCGCTTCGATTCGCGGATGGCATGGTCCGGCGGTGGGCCTGGCCCGGCGGTGGGCCGACACCGGATGTTCGGGTGGAATCGCTGGTTTCACGCGAGGCCTTGGTTGCAGCGATAAAAGCGAGAAGGTAAGAAATAAAAATAAAATAAATTCGATCTCGCATGGATCGACAGGTTCTTCATTTTCTCGCTGACTTTCCGGTTCCGGAGCCGAAAGTGCCGATCCGTTGAGTTAGCTCTTGGACCTTGGGTACCAACATGAGTCGCTTCTCGTCTCCTTAGTTTTCCAGCGTTTTTATATTTCCCGCCAAAACATAACGGCGGTAATATTGCAAAATCGACTTATTTCGCACATTATTATGCGAAGAAAACTCGATATTCGTGTTATAAAATTATTTGTCGTTCCACTGTTCTAATTTCGGATTTAGTTTTCCTCTGTTTCAGGTTTTTTTTTAAAATGACCCAGTGGAAATGGTCAGCAAAATAAAAAAAAAACAAAGCCCCTTGGGCTGTTCGTGTCAATCTTGTGAGAGAAAAAAGAAAGATTCTGCCTCTTGTTGCAGTTTGACGTGCGGTTCCTTTTCTCTGTCAGGCGTGAAATCCCGAGGAACGGAACGTCTCATTAATTCAGGACGGAGGGGAAGAGAAACGAAGAAATTCGCTGATTGTTAAGGAGGGAAAGTTTTCCATCTTTCTCGCCTGTGAACGTTTTCGGTGGAAAATTCTTTCAAGGAGATTTTTCAATGGCGGAAGGCGAAAGAAATGCCGAGAAGGTCCTTTAAGGTCATCGGTTTTGGGCCTTTGGTTTGGGTTTCGAGGAATCGTCGACACGGGTCGAGAATGGAATGACTCACGGTGCTGTCACAGGTCGGGGTGTCCCGTGGAGTTTTCGAGTTCCCCGGGGGGCGTGTTTCGTTTTCTTGCAGGAAATCCGAGGCTTTGTGCGGGGCTGCATCGGCAGCGGCGGAAATGGCGTGGCTCTCGCGGTGGGAGATGGGACGAGACTGGGGGATTCGAGAGGGCGCTGGGTCCGTCCGAAGGCGCTTGGGCGGCGGCTGGGATGTCGATAAAAGGGGAGATGCGGTGGGTGACGTCATCAGTCGGTTGGGGAAGTCGGTGCTGGACGCGTTGCTGCGAGGGAGCGGGGAGGATGTTCGACGCCGCGTCGGTGGAGGGAAGACCGAGGCGTCGGATCCGTTCGGTTGCTGCTGGAAGGTTTCAGGGAGAAGGGAGAAGGGGGGGGGATCGACGTGAAGTTCTGATTAGGAAAGGGCGCTCGTGGGTTCTTCGAAAAAATATTCGTCGACCGCAGGTTTCATTGACTCGCTAATGAAAAGAGCAATCGCTATTCCCTATGTCATTGCCATAACTTTATTCATGAAACGTAAAACTTATTATACAATCCACCTAAGAAACGTTTTTTGCCTGAAGAAACCGAGTCTACGACTTGCGCGTCCTTTATTTGTTATATCTTACAACCAATTGGAGACACTAGCAATGTCGTCCTCCATCTAAATCTTTACATGAAAGCGCCAGTGCTCCTCTTGCTATTCAAGCATCGCTTGTTTTATCGCTTTTGCTTAAAAAAGACCCTGAAACAGAAATCTCTCAAAGCAACTAAATTAGCTGCAAATCCGAGAATTGTTTAAAAGATTTAGATTAAATTGGCTGCTGTTGAGTCTTGTCGAGTGTTTTTGACATGAGTTCGGATTCAATCTGGTTTTATTTCCCTGCATCCTTCGGTGGAGCTTCGTGCAAGCTCCCTCTCTCTTGCGGAGTGAGACGGAAATGAAGTTGAGAAAGTGTGTCAATAGGTGTCGCTCAAACAGTTGACCTAGAAGGAAAATGTCGGCTCCCGCGTGTGTTATCGAAATTCCTTCAATCAATCACATCCTCCAGACTCGGCCGAGTGGGCGTAACGGTAGCCCTGAGCCATTTTACAGTTGAAATCGGCATTTTATCCGTCGGTGTGGCTATTTATGCTACATTCGGACGTTTGCATCTACTAGATCTAGACTAGGCCTAAGGTTCGGCATCGGTAGGACTACCTGTCCTACAGTAAGGTCGCAATAAGGCGTAGTTAAGGGGTGGAAGCTCAATTTACGATTCAGGATTGAAGCAGATGGCCCTAGCAAAGCTCGAAGCTTCAAATTACGCATTGAGTTTCTAAAAATGCTGAGGTCGAATGTGGAAACCTGGTCCTGGTGTTTCCAAATTATAGACTCGACTAACAGACCTGTAATATTAGTATGTTTGTACCTATCGATCTCTCAAACATGGCTAGGCCGTAGTCAAGCAAAGCAAGAGGAACGCTAGTGACTCAACTCTCAGCATCCTTAGAATTATGTAGAAATTAAGTACTTTCAAGAAGAGAAATTCCAAATGCATTGAAAGCAATAAAAATAGGCAAGACTCCAATATTTAAGAGTCGAAGTTTATTGGTGTATCAGTCTATGAAGGAAGTCCTATCTGTCTTTTATTCCTATTATTTCAATGTTTCTCTAGTAAGATATGTCAAATAGATTGTTTATTAGGCCCTATGAATATTTAGAAAATCATCACATGCTTGTCAAAAATCAGATTTGATTCTGGAATAACACAACAACAGTACTAGCCATTATTATTATGCATCCAAAAACCAATTTAAGCCTTTGCAATTCTGTCATGTATACTTAAATTCAGATAGAGGATCATATAAATTTATCAGGAAAGGATTAGGTCAATTACTATAATGTTAGGTTTGCTTAATATGACATAATATTAGGCTTGTATAGCCAGATATAGGACTGACATCACAAGCACTCTCTTCCTGGATTTATCTGACTTTGAACTCCCTAAATGAAGAAATATTGTGAGAAATATAAGGTTAAGCCTAGGCCTGCCTAAATTGGAGGTTTTGCTGTGTAAATTCAGAGGTGCTATGTGAAGTGTAGTATCATTTAATTTTTAGCTCCAGTTGTGAAACTTCACATGGATTGATTCTTGGATCTCTTCTTTATTACATAGCCTATGGTTATGTTATATGGTATGATTATGTTTCTAACATTTGATTATCAAAATAACAAGAATAGTAGTTGTTGCTTATGTCATGAAAGCCATGTATGTACTAAACTTTTGAGTCTTAAACTCATGTCATTTGCACATCCAATGAACTTGGAACAATGGTCTTGGTTAAATGTACATAGTGTTTGCTTGATAGAAGTGAATGGTATATAAGTTGTGGCCCTTCTAATTTGTACCACTTAGGGCTCTGTCTTAACACATTGGTGACGGGCCCCGAGAAATCTTGTAGTACGCTCGCGACTACTTGCAAAATACAGTTGATATGATTAGCTGTATTCACAATAACTTCAGGCCTATAAGTTCCACCTGTTGCTATATTTTGGTGATTGAATCATGCTTATTTCCAAAATAGGAGCCTTCACATTAAATTTCTGAAATAGAATGTAAGACTAAGTCTAATTTTTATTGCATATCAAACTGAGGAGTGATGCTTCTCTTGTTTACTTCTTTAGAAACTACTGTCTCCCAATGTGTAAGAATCATACAAATACAGGCACTTAATATAAATATTCAGCACAAAAATGTATTGGTAGGCTGACAGTAATATGATGAAATTTGGATTCCATTATCTGTTGTGATACTGCCATTACCCTATTATGCCTTCATCGAGTCATGAACATGAGTCAGTCTTGGTTGAAGGCACTCTGCCATAGAATAGTACTTCAAATACATAGATACACAATATAATTTCAACTGTAATGCACAGAGTACCACTTGATTTATGACATGTTATAAAGAAAAGTTTTTTAAAATTATTATCATGTGCTGATGTTGGTAGGTACATAAAAAATAATGATATATAACCGATATACTTAGTCTATCAGATAACGTGGTAAGCATATAGACCTTTTTCTAATCTTAGATTGTGTGACATGCCTCTGGTAGTGAAAAGTGACGTTGAAGTAACAATGATAATGGTATGCGAATATGTGGTTTTCATCAGGTGATGGTTACCCGAAGGACAAGAAGGTTGTCATTCCACAGATGTGGACAATTAATGACCTGTATGAAAGGGAGAAAATGAGCCGAAGTTTCCTACTTCCTCAAGCCCATATGAATGCTTCATTAGCCATCAGGCAGGAGATCCAGCGCTTCGAGAGTGTTCATCCCTCAATCTACGCCATCTACGATTTGATAGAAATGATTCCTGATCCTCTACTTTCTCAACAGATCAGGGAACATGTTGTATCTATAGAAGGTGAGTTGGAAGGAATACATCATCGTGTATCCTATACCCATGTTAAACCTAGTTCTAATGCTTGGGCTAGTCTTTTGAGAGTGTGGGTCAAGATTTATGTAATTCATGTACTGTAAAAATGGCAATGACTTAAACAGATTTAACTGATTTGAGTTAAAGTTATGAATGTTCAAGATCAGTCACTTCAAGCTATCCTAGTCAGACACTCAGAATAATCAATTGCTATTTATATTTGTTTTTTTGGATATACCAATAATTACCTACTGCTAAGAATAATTTACATTTCTCTTAAAGAATGAAGTAATTACTCTAATGTACCATGGATAGATTCTGAGTCAATGCATGACTGCATTACGTCATGGGAAACTTGCAGAATTTATTTGGCAGAACCTCATCTCTGCTACTTCAACTTCAACCATCATGGTTTTGTTGCATGGTCATATGTATTCCTGACGAGTCAAGGTAGTACAATCTTATTTGGGTTTGGCATGCTTTTGAGCATCTTACATCTAGGCATGTTTTGGCTGTCTGTACATTTATAGGTCTCCATCAAACCATGTATATTTATTTACTTTAGGCTCTGAGCCAACAATGTACGTGCATGTGCCCAGATGAAGCTGACATGGGTGATGTGTGCTTTTTGTCTTGCAGATAGTTTTGTGAATTCTCAGGAGTGGACGGTTTCAAGGGGTGTTCCAGATCTCCGACTAGGTATTGTTGGCTCTTTATCATCAGGGAAGTCAGCACTTGTTCATCGGTATTTGACAGGATCCTACATGCAAGAGGAAAGTCCTGAAGGAGGTCGCTTCAAGAAAGAAGTTGTTCTTGATGGCCAGAGTTACCTCCTGCTCATTCGAGATGAAGGTGGTCCTCCTGAGTTTCAGGTCTGATAAAGTTGTCCAAGTATATTCCTTATCTTGATGATCCTATATTCATGTATTTATTTTGCACTGCTTCCTAGGTCTTGAGCATTGTTGAATGGACATGTTGAATTCATATTTTAATTTGTAAATTAAATGACTGCTGACTTGTCACTATGCAAAATACTTGTAAAAAAAATCTAGACAAAGTGACACAATGTGGATAGGTGGTTTTCTGAAAATTGAAGCAAAATTGATCTTTTAGAAGTGCCATCACTGCTTCATATCCTCATGATGTTGAACTACCTAATGAGTCAGCTCGGTAGTATTCAAGCAGCAGTCGCTTTCTCAACATATGTTGGGATATATCCTAGTGCAGGCAGGCACAGACAGACTTGCATTGTATATAACAATGGCATTCAGTGAGTCCTGTTCTGCATTTGCAGGAGAATGATGTTCAAATGGAAACATTATTTCTTTCCAGAGAAGTTGTGAGCTATTTGGAACTCCTACTTGAGAAGCTGCTTTCTTGTTTCAACAGTTCACAGCCTGGGTGGATGCTGTGATCTTCGTGTTCAGCCTTGAGAATGAGGCCAGTTTTAATGCAATATACAACTACTATTCCAAGATGTCCAACTTTCGGCATCCATCAGAGATACCAATCATTCTGGTTGGGACTCAAGGTGAGATAATCTGTTGTTTTTAGGTGTCTATGTGGTCAAACCAAATCAATGCAAACCTCAAAGGAGGTCTTCATAAGTTCACATCAAATAGGTGTTCATGTTGATAGTCTGCAGTCAGAATATTTTCAAGGAAGTATGGACTCTCTGGACCTCAAGTCTGGAGAAATGGAAATTAGAATGCTTCCTTGCTCTCTTGTCACTCATTTGCTGAAAAGCTACATCTGTTTGTTTACTGGATGCCTTTCTCATATTCATGACTTGCAGATGCCATCAGTGAGAACAATCCCCGGGTGATAGATGACTCTCGTGCTAGGCGTCTTGCTGCTGATCTCAAAAAGTGTGCCTACTATGAGACATGTGCTACTTATGGCCTGAATGTTGAGAAGGTTTTTCAAGATGGTCAGTCACTTGATCATTTTTTCAGTGAAAATTGTCAAATTGACAGGTCTCACTTATCCACTTCATCTGCCTCTGTAGCATGCCAGAGAATTGCAAACCAGAGGCTAGGGTACCAATCTCGACCATCTACTCCAAACCAGACTGGAAGACCATTCCAGTTCTTAGGCTCACCCAGCCTAGGCAATAGTCCTAGTTTACACAATGTCAACTCTTTGCCACCTGCTGTATCTGGATTAGCCATCTCCCAAACCTCATCATCATCTGCCTCATATCCAAGGGTGAGGAAATGTCCAAGTTTAAGTCTACACTGAGAAATTGTTGAAATGTTCTATTGTTCTTGGTGGAAATCACATACACTTTGAATTATATCCTGTTAAGAATGCAGTTTGGGAATTAACTTCTAACTTTATGGTATCAAGGCTTGCATTACATACTTCTTCAAGCAAGAAATTTATGGAGGAATGATGTTTGTTGCAGGATTCTCCTCCAACAACAACAGGACGGTTTGCAAGCGCAGAAGTTCCTGGAGGGGCATGCTCATTAGATCCTGGGAAACCTCCATCAGGAAGAGGGAATGAGGAGAGAAGTTTCCCCACAGGAGATTCTAGTCCCAAAGACCAACTACCCACACCAAGTTCAACTCCAACCACTGCCAGGTGAGTTGCCTTTGTCTTGTCTTCAAGGATCAGGACTTGAGGATTTCAGACAGTGAGGTGAATTTTTGGAGAAATAGACCATAGAACAGTTTGTGTTGGCTGGAAAATAGGATGCCTTAGAAGTGATAAGAGATAGTTCTGTCTTTTGCAGTGAGATTGTGAAATAGTTGATTCCATCTAATCCTATGGTGTTTTTAAATTATAGATTCAATCTTACTATTTCATTTATTGAAATCTTTCCATCTTACTATTTATCTTACTATTGCACTTCCTCAGATATGCTCCATTCCATTCCATGGAATTGATGGATAAATTTTGCATGGAATTAGTAGGTAAAAAAAGGAAGGGGAAGGGGGACACCTGGGCCAATTATGTCATCACTTGCAGAGGTTGCACTTGGTTTCTTGCCATAGGGGTCCCCAGACCTTCAGGTCTGATATGGAAGGGTCCCCTGATAATTAATGGGGTTACTTTCCAAATGAAGCATGAGGGAACCTTGAAGGGTTTCCCAAAGGTAAAAGTCCAGCAATCTATATGTATTTGCTGACTTAACATCTCTAACCAAGGAGTATGATATTCAGTCCAGCAGTCTTGGGCCTTCTGCATGCCTGGGATGCATGGGCAGGAGGCCAGGGTGAAAATCTTAGTGCAACCCCTGTCTTGTCAGTCTAGTATGGGAGGCATGAAGTGTGAAAATTCAGTGAAAGTCTTCCCTGTGATATCTCATCGATCTGAAGCTTGAGAATTTCTAGTTCCAAATTTCCTGAAGTTCTTGAAATCCTGAAAATGATAAACTTTTCAATTGTGTGCATAATTTAGTGTTTTTGTCTGCAGTGAATTCCAGCTTCATTGTCCTGCTATAAGTGCATTTGCCATGATGGGTTGAGTATGCTCAACATTCGGTCTTTATTAATACAACCTTCAGTTGCAAATGTAACAGTGCCTCTTTGTTGAACTTAATGGAACTGCCACATCATATTATAGCTTAGCAGACTGGGAACATGATGAAAGTATGATATGGGAGTTTCACATTTGGAGATGGAGAGTGTTTCTGTAATTTGCTCTATATAATCCACTTCTCTCATTCATTGATGCAGGAAAAGCCGACGGCGGTCAAATTTGTTTGCCTCAAGCAAGAAGGAGGATGCAGAGAAGAAATGCAAGAATGGAGAGCTTGGAATTGGGAGAGCAATTCCACTGAAGCAAGGTCATCTCTACAAGCGTAGCACAAAGGGATTGAACAAGGAGTGGAAGAAGAAATATGTCACCTTGTGTGATGATGGTCGCCTCACTTATCATCCTAGCCTACATGTAAGCTGCTCATGTTTCAATCCTTATGTTTTCCCAGGTGCAGATGTATATTGCGGATTATCTTGAATGAGGTGACCATTATGTTTGTCATTCTCTCCCATATCCATGAAATAACATTTGAATCCTTGTTCTGACATTTTCCTAACTCAATGCACACAACTTATAGCTCCAGGAAGGTCTTAGTATGGAAATTTTACAACATATCTTCTTTTTACCTGCTTCATAACCACATAACAGGATTCCCTCATAACAATCCCAGTTGCTTCTAGTTCATGAAAGATATCTCTAAGTCAGCCCTGCCCTTGTATCATATATGCATATACATGAGGTTCAGTTCCTTTCAGCAGAGGAATGGATTGCATCCAAACAGGACCCATTGCTAGATTGGACTTACCTAATTTATTGTAAGGTTGGATTTACATCTGAGAACTTGCCCTTGCTAACCTTCACCTGTGTCATGTTCTTGTATTGACTTTCACAGTGTTTCAAAACTCAAAAACTTACTTGCTGCTGAAGTGAAGTAGATATGGCTTATATGGTAGCCTATCTATTAATGTATAATTATCATAAACCAGTCATATAAATAATAAATAAAGTTTACTTTGATTTTCATGAGGTAATGCTTAATCCTTACTGTGCCTAAATTAATATTAGAGCCTGTTTCATATTTTTATGCCAGAAATGACTTTGCATAGGCTTATGGTACTACTGTGGAGTAATGGCAGAATGGTCAACATGTATGGTTTGTAGGAATATGACATTTGCTTGTAATCAGATTGTCAGAACTTTATCTAATTCTGGTTTGGGTCATGTGTCTGCTATGCTCTGTAAGTGGGCATACCTATGCAGCAAAGGAAGACAAGAATACTACATAATAAATTTTCTCCTCCGCTCTCCATCTCCCTGTTTTAGTATAAAGAATTAAAGCTTTCTTATGATCAAGTAAAATATGCAGATTAAAACTTAATAGTCTTATGTTGAAGGAAGTCATCTGCATCTTATTTTACATTTTTTTCCTTTCTTTCAGGACTACATGGAGGATATCCATGGGAAAGAGATATCATTGAGGTATACTACTGTGAAAGTTCCTGGGCAAAGACCCCGGGGGATATCCAATGGGGTTATTGATTTTGGTGGCCTCTCCATCTTGGGTAAGTCTCTTCTCAGTCACATGATTACATTTTCTTTTTCATTCTGTGAGCATGTTGCAAGAAATCCCAGTGTGACTGTATTTGTATTGTTGCTTTACCTTTCCTGAGGTTCCTCTATGCTGATCTATGACTGATCTATGCAAATCTGTAGAATGCTACTCATTTGGGACCCTTTCACATCATTAATTTACCTTCCAAGGCAATGATAATTACTTTTTTCCCCATGCATATGACATCAATTGTTGTTAATTCTGATTGGGATTTAATCTTAGATCTGTTGTGCATGTATGGATAAAGGTTGAAGCTGAGCCTTTCCTGAATCCTTTGCCTTCTTTTGATAGCCATCAAATGACATGAAAAAGTTATGAGAGATTCTGTTTTCCATCATTATGTCTCATTGACCTCTCTTTGGAATGCAGATAGATCAAGTGGGAAGAAGGAACCACACCTGGGTAGCACAAATTCCAAAGTTGCTCTCACTTCTTTTGAGCTCATCAGGGATGGCCCTGGAGCCATCCGCTCAGCATCGCTTGTGTAAGTATTCCCCTCCTGGTTTTTATTTACTCATTTATTCACTGGGACCATCTTATGGAGGCCAAACCTCCTATTCATTCTTTTGAACCAATGGTGCTACTTAATTTCTTTGTTCCTTTCTTTCATGGGACCCTGTATTGCCACATAGTGGTAGAGTTCTAAGCTTTGATTGAGCATTTTTTGTTCACCTTGAATCACCATGTAATATGAAAACATTGGCATCATTTTGATGTCATGATGACATTTCCAAAAGTCGGTCTTCAATAGTTTCAGTGTTTATGAAGCCTTTTCTTTTTTTAATGTTTCCTTCAGTATTCAGCATTCCTATCTGAGGGCTCTGTGCTTGCATCAGAGAAGTTTTTCTCATTTCATAAGGATCAGGATTACAGCAAAATATTCTGCCCCTTGATTCATTTGAGATTGTAATATTTTTAGTCCATCAACATGCTCCTGTATCCCATTGTAAACAAAGAGCAGCAGAAAATAGGACTTCATGTTTATTACTTCATGTTGAAGAACCAAGGTGCTCCAGAGTAAGAAAATTTGTTTAATACCTTTCCAGAAACTGTGATAATGTCCTGCAAGGGAATGCTGATACCTCTAAGAATGAGACTTCAAATGTGAAGAAGAAACACCGACGGATGAAAAGCAGCCTCAATCGCAAAGCTGATGATGGAGATGGTGAGCTTCCTTCATTTGTGTATTGAAAACTTCACTCTGTTTCCCAATACAAGCCCATTGAAAGTGTGAACTCTTTGCATTTTATTATGTTGGCATGAAGTTGCTTTATGCATTTCTGAAGTACGGTTTGAACTTCTCTTTCATTGAAGAGTTATAAGGAACAAGAGTATTGCATTGAGTACTAGTGGACTTTAAATTCCATTACTTCCAAATTCCCAATTTATTCAGTGCTTCTATTAATTCATTTTCTTTCAAATTTTGATTCTTGCTCCTTGTAGATTCAGATGGCTATGAATTCCTTCTCGTATCGTGTGATAACAAGACGTGGCAGTTTGAGGCAGCCAATAGTGAAGAGCGTGACGAATGGGTATCAGCTATTGAACAATGCATTCTCAATTGCCTTCAGGTAACTCCTTTCATTATTCCCAAATGTATGTTGATACTATGCTGCAGATAGGTTCATTATCTTACACTGAGATGCATGGTGCTCACTTTTACTTTCATGTGAAAGATGGAATGCATTTGCATGTCCTGTATTACATCCATTAAGTATGAGTAATATCATTCATTCCTAGTTTTTGCACCACTTTAGCCAAAAATTTTTATTGTTGATTGAAGTTCAGTAGACATGAGACTTTAGGAGAATTAGACCTAGGAGAAAAGATTTGAATATCATCTCTGTCATGAAAACTTGTTTGGGTCAGCTTAGCATCAAGCTGCCCCAAATTTGTGGGTGTAACTTAAGTGTGAATTGGATGAGCCTGCTCCACCTTATATAGTCAACTGGGGCACCCTGAACACTTTTGAATATTCTCTTTTAGACAACTGCAATATGAGGGGAGATAAACTTCCTATTTCCCTGATACTCTTATTCACTTTTTGTGTCAGCATAGACTAAGCAGCAAGATGCATGTGATCCTTGTCTCTAATAGTGTTGTCAAGTGCTGAGGTACATGATGCTTCTTAGAATTTAAAAAATCATATGAAGTATATGTGACATCCTTGCTTGAAACTTTTGATTTGAATTCCATGTACTAATCATACTTTTTTGGAGAAACTTTCTGGGGTGCAATAATCAATATTCAGCCGTATTCGGGAGTAAAGAAGGGGAGGAAGATGATGCAAGGTTGAAATGGGGAGGAGGGCTTCAAAGCCCTTTGGGTTCTTAATTTCTTCAAATATTGGCATAGTAAGTTTTCCCTTAGGGCAAGAAAAGCAGTTGAAACCCTGGAAGATGTGTGAGAGTAGAGGGCAACATTTTGATTCCTATTCTGACTGGTTATGTTATCCTGAATACATGACTTAGAGGAATCTCATCTTTGTTTCAAACTAACAGCAAGATCTTAGAAATTGTTCTCAGGGCAATTAATATATGCTTTTGAGTGCCTCTTGTATTCAAAGCATTTTTACATGCAAAGATTTGGCCTGTTTTCTTTGTTTTGCTTAATCCCACATAATCCTTGATTGTTCACATTCCAGTTGAATGAGACAGGGAAGGCAAAAGGAAGACCACCAGCTGATCCATCTGCAATCCTCTCCCTGCGGCGAGTTGTGGAGGGGAATCTTGCTTGCTGTGACTGTGATGCTCCTAGTGAGTTATCTCTATCAACTTTGTCTCTTTTATCTCTCTCCTTAGCATAAAAGTTGTGGTTCTCATTTTCATTAGCAAGGCCTTTTTAATGTGATTCCTCCTTTCAATGTATAAGTTCTGTTGCTGCAGAAAAGATATAAGCCAAATAAATTGTTTGTTCTATGCTCTGATAATAAGTTCCAAGAGTATAGCAGAAGGGTTTCAAAGAGGTATGTGGTGTTTAGCAGTAGCTATGGATTTTCTTAGTCATTGAGAGAAATAGAAAACTTTGTACACATCAGTTTGCACAATAACACAATCGTAAGAAGTGAGCAATAGCATATGGGAAAATACCTTTTTAGCAGCTAAGTCTCTTCTCTTTGAAATTGAATTCCCAAATGGAGCACATTTATTGATATCTTTCAGACCCAGACTGGGCCAGCTTGAATTTGGGGACATTGATCTGCATTGAATGCTCAGGGATCCATAGAAATCTAGGTTCTCATATCTCTCGAGTCCGCAGCTTGGACCTGGATGAATGGCCGTAAGTATCCTTCTGTCTTTCCTTCTCTAGGATATTTTATTCTCTTAGGCAACATTGTATATTCATGGGGTTTCCATTGTTTGATTGTGCTTTTTTCATCCTTTTTTTTTTTTTAAAAGCATCGCCTAGTACTTAACCTAGTGATGGCCTTTCTAGTCCTTGTGTAGTAAAGGCTCTCTAATGTATGAATCATGCAAATTCTTTTCTCTTTTTCCTATTTTTTTTTATTAAGCTGAAAAAAAAATTGGATTTAATATGAAGACAGGTACTGGTTGTATTTGGTAAAATGTGATTGTGTGATTTTTCTTGGCTTGTAATGTCATAGGATCCTGTCACTTGTTGACATGCACATCCTCATTCTTTTCTGATTGTACTCCAGGCCAGGGCACTTGAGTGTGATGATGGCCCTGGGAAATCGAATAGCCAACAGCATCTGGGAAAGCAACGTGCAGGGCCGCAATAAGCCCAGTCCCAATTCCAGTCGAGACGAAAAGGAGCGCTGGATCCGGGCCAAATATGAAGAGAAGCTATTCCTTGCCCCTCTTAGCACCCCTCATGTTCCCTTGGGACAACAGATCCTGGATGCTGTCTGCAGGTCTGCTACTCTCCTTCATGTTCATACTTTCAGTATTATGCTTGTAATGGCAGATGAAAGTAATCATTGATGAAAGCTATGTCCCTTTGGTACTGACTCAGATTCATTTATTACAACTGCTCTTTGATGTCTGTGTCAAGATATGCTAAACCAGGGTGGTATTGTGCCAGTGAGCTCAATCACTCTTAACCAGTTGAGTAGCAAATGAATTTCTGCTTCAATGTACAACAGTACAACTTTTCACAGCGGAATGGGTGTATTTTTTGCGAACATTTTGGCTTTTTGAAACCACATTAACATGTGCTGGATGTGTATATGAGGAAAAATAGACTCAAGATTCAGTTGATAAATTACAAAGACAAGTAATCAGCTTCTGATCCAATATGGCTAAGGTGAATTGGTCTGCATTGATCTGAGCTCTCTGGGAACATTCACTCAAATTGTCAAAGAACTATCTTTACACTTCAGGAGTAAATAAATGCCATAAACTTGCAAAAATTTTCTGTTAAGTTCCTCAAAATTGAGGGAGCAGAAAGGAATCTGAGTGCTTGTCAATCCTTCAAATTTAATGAATATGTATCCAATATGACTTTGAAGTTGATTTCATGATCCCAATTGCAGGGGAGACGTGAGGCATGTGGCACTGCTTCTAAGTCATGCCGAACCCGAACACGCCAGCACGTGTGTGAGCCCCCGAGATCCTCGAACCCCTCTGCACATTGCTTGTGCCATGGGGAATCTTCCTATCACTCAACTCCTCCTTTGGGTAAGCCTTCTTTACACCTGAATCTTATCATCACATTGGCAGATGAGGTTCTAGCTTGATTGGTTATCTCTTGTCAGCATGGAGCAAATCCCAGTGCAGTTGACCAAGATGGTCCAACATGTCTGAGTTATGCCCGCAGTTCAGGTTCCTCGGAAATCGTGGACCTGGTGCTTCAGTACCTGAGTGGAGGGACCACGAAGAGCATCGGGACGGGAATGGGAACGTTCCCGCTCAGGCGTGGGTCCTTGACCAAGGAAAAATGCACTAATCCTTCACCTGCTTCCTATGAGAAGCTCCCTTCTTCCTTCATCTAATACACTTTTTTTGTGTGCATGTCCTGGTTTATTTGGACCTTGTTATTCATACCACCACAGTGCAATCACTTCTTGTGTTGAATTGAGGAGAAAATGGAATCTCGTGCTTGCTGCCTCACTTTCTCAGTTGTACTCGTGTGAAGGTTTGAGGGATGCCACCATCCCCACCAGCTCTCAGGGAAGGGATGGGAGAGATTCCAGCTGGTCTTTATGATCTGAGATTCTTATTTATGAATTCCTTCTTTTTTTTTGCAAGGGAGTGTAGTAACCTGGGATTAGGTAGAAGGTAGACAGGGTTGGGGAAAAGCAGGAAAATTGCCCTGCACCCCTCTAATTTGAGCACTTATCTTGCCTCTCATCACTTGCCCTGCCTTGCACCTCAGGAGAGTCCCAATCCCTCGGCCCCATGGTCAACCCGTTTCAATTAATCGCTTGCGTTCATCAAACTTGCTCTTTGCGTGTTCAGATGCGTCTCAGGCAAGATGATTGTTGTCATTTCCATGGGTGTTTGCTGTCTGAAGCATTTTAAAATTAGTCATTTATATTATTTATTGGTTCCAATTCCATGGTACAGTGTATTGTGGGAGTGCTGTATGATGCTTGATGCTCTTGTATTCAGGAACTCCTCTGAAACTTCCTTGATGGAACAAATAGAGCACTATTCCAAAAGGAGCTCAGTCATATTACTGCTTTTTTTTTTCCCTCACTGTGGTTTTGTTTTTGTGCACTCTATTTTGATGAATAAGCATTTCTGTACTTCATTTGGCCTGAAAATTGGCCCCACTCTTTGAAGGTTATTAGAAGTTAAGTTTTCAACAAAAGGCGCACCCTCTATCTGCAAAGTACTGCATGCTGAGGTGATCTGGCCACTCCATGAGTGGCTACGTCTTTGGTGAGGGGCGTTTAGTATCATAAAATGGAAATGAACTTGGAGCTTGCTCCTGCTCATATTTGATGAGTCATCATTAAGTCTTATGAGTTCCATGCTAAAGTTCAAAACATGTGTTTGTTAGCAGGTTTAAAAATTATATATATATATACTGTACTAAATATATTTTTGCTGTGCAAAATATTTTTTTAAGCGTGTCATTCGCGTTTTCGTCGTTTGTGCTACTTGGCAAAACACTAGGATCCATTGCTGAAGAAGCTGTAGCCCATCGTCTGGATCATTCCGGACAGCTGCATAATGGGACCACCTCCACTGATGGGGGAGACTTGTCTGATGACGAATCGAGTGAACTCGAATGCCACGCGCTTTAGCAGCCACGCAGCGCTCCATGCCTGATAGTCTTCATGCAGTGAGAGTCGGGAAGCCGGGATTACCAGGACGATTGAAATCCCATGAGGGCGGATAGGAAAGTAAGGTGTCAAATGTGAGAGGCGCGCCTCCCAGACCTCACGGACTGAAAGGACGTTGCAGAAGAAATCCATCTCCCCTGAATTCCAGGATTTGCAGTTGGTAGAGAAGGTAATTGAAAGAATCTCACCTGATTCAATCTCCAACGCAATACTCTGGGGAATAACGTAAAATACGATGGAAGAATAACGCGGGAA